TTCTGAAGATGGAGGCGGAGCGTTTGTGGGAGTGTCCCCAGTGCTATGATCTCGATTCCCAATTCAACATATCAAAAATCATTTCAAAGTTTTGAGTTCTCGTCACACATGTACTCTACAGAGCAGCCATTGTAATTACATTAGTAGTCGGTGCGCTGACTTGTCAGAATAGTGGTCTGATGTGCGGAGTTACTGTTCCTCACGTGATTGTAAAATAGTGCTAAAGCTCCTACGATCCAAGTCCTATCTACACCTCTACGTTGTCATACGAAAAACACATCCCCAGCCCAGAGCCTCGCCAGCATAGACAGCATCCATGTTTCAAAGTCAGAGTGAATCTGCTGAGAGGCAAGGAACCAACAGTGTATATACATGCTCGGGAAACTAGAACTGGGATTCCTTGAAGCACCCCCCCCCCCCCACACACACACACACACACACACACACAAACACATACTTCTGGACACTTGCGGTCACAATGGACGCTAGGTAGGGGCACTGTTTGGAGCCAAGGCAAATTTTTTTGCTTCTGCCGAATGGTGGCCGATGCATATTTGCTCCATTTGTAGACTTAATATAGTTTCGTCGCCCAGCTTCTGAACTGAATGCCTGGCGTGACACTGTGAGCTGCGGATTTCATTTGGAATGTTTTTTTCGACTGTGACCATCGTGGTGGTGTAAATTGTAGATTCAGAAAATGGTGCGATGCCTGTCGTCGCCATGTTGGTGGTGCCCGTATGTGAATAAAATTTATCGCGTGGGCAGCTGCTGGTCTGTTGGTGACTTCTGCTACCATCAATGATGAACTGCATTTCTAATGTCCCACTGTCTGTGTTAACACTTTGGATGGCTACCGTATGCTTTAATGCGCGCGTATGCTAGATATGCCGAGACAGCAGTCTGTCAATCTTTCCACAAGGGACTGTGATAAACAGTCTGTGTGTTTTTCCGTTGGCACAGGAGCGGAGCAAAGATGGGGTGACCCGTTTGTTATAAAGCTGAAACTAGGACTACCAGACTACCAGACTTCGTGACTTTAGTCTTATTCCAGAACTTGAGTTGTGCTTACACATCCATTTTACAGATGAGACATATGTGTGCAGTCTTTCGGTTCCTTGCCTTTCAGGTAGATGTAACTTCGGGGGAAATACACATGATTCATCATCATGAGATGCTTTGCCGACTGGCGTGGGCGATCATGCCTCTCCATAATCTGCGATCTCCTGCAGCATGTATCAGTTCCTGTGCCGACACACCTCCATGCCATGCAACAAGACTGTCAAGCATCTTCTCTCGGTGTCTTCCTCTATCCCTCCTTCCACAGATCTTTCCAGTGGTCACAACATGTTCTGTTTTCCCTCTTCTCATAACATGGCCGAAAAATGATGAATGTCTCCTTCTGATGTCTGTGATAAGTTGTCTTAGGGCTCCCGCCTCTTTCAAAACCTCTTGGCTGCTCTTTTTGGCTATCCATGATTAGTGAAGTTATATTAGTATTATTATTATTGCACATGTAATGCTTAACTATTATTAGCCACCATTCCTTACACAGAATATCATGAGGAGACTGAGGCGCCTACCACCCCTCCCCTAAACTAAAAAAAAATTATTTTTCTTTGTACCAGCGCCCCTAACTGACAGTTACGATAACATGTCGTCTCAGACTTCCATACAAATTATAAAACATGAAAATCACATCACAGCTGTTTAGTTCTGTTGCTGTCGGCTTGTGTTTAATTGTTAGCAGGGTAACATCAATACAAAATAAAAACATATTGTCTGTTTCTACTTTATCGAACTAACTACATAGTAAGACCGAAACTACGTCTGTATGTGGGTACGAAAATGTTACAGTACATAAAAATAGTTCTGATAAGATTCACTTTAGTTTATTTGCTGAATCAGCGAGTAATATTTTCAGTTGGCTGTTTTACTTTGTCGGCTCTGTGGTTAAATCGAAGCGAACGCTTCGTATGCCGGGATGCCGGGTTCGATACCAGCTGCGGGTCATGCGCCTTGCGTTGGTTTCGACAGTGGTATCAAGAAAGCCGACCGTCCAGGAAGTAAAGGCAAACTACTAGACGTAAATTTGCCTAGAAAAACCACACAACAGCTAGGGGCTGTTGGGGTTGGTTCTGTTACGTCCTGTAAAGGATTCGCAACTAACCTTGTTTTACTTCTTCTGATGGTCTCGAGCTGTTGGGATTTCCTAGTGTTAGACGTAAGCTGGGCTGTGGATAACGACGAACAGTTCTTTATTAATATCCTACAGTCAAACATTTAAGAGTGTGGTAAGACTGGGTTTCCTGGCTTTCTGATGCCTTTAACGACCCCATAGAACTGGCCCTAACCCAACCAACCTACGTCCCACGAAAGGGTGCAGCCTAGGTCCCATGACTGCATGCAGCCTATCTATCACTCCCTGCAACATTAGACTGTGCCGTGACTTGTTGATTTTCCCTGTTTGGGGTAGGATAATAAAAAAGCACCCGACGAATTTGTGTCAGTAACACGACTATGTAACAAGGGAGTAAAGCCCATCTATGCCGCCTCTAAGATACAATAAAACCAGCTTCCCATGGCAACAATCAGAGGTACACTGGAGTGGCTGCTTCTTCTGAGGACTGAGCGTGCATGTGTATGCCAGGGCCAGCTACAGAAATAAGGCAGTACAGGTCAATTGGAAATTTCTTTTTTTGTGAGGCTGGCGTGGCTGGTAGGTGGTAATAATTGCTATCGAGTAGTTTTTCTTTAATACACAAATTGAACTACGGTTCAAATAATTTGCAAAATGTGTTATTAAATGAAATTTTATTTTTAAGATAAATAAATGGACTATTAGAAAATATTTATCTTCAAAAT